CCTGACATCATTTCCGGTCCCTTCTACCCAGAGAGAGAGAGAGAGAGATTTGGAGGAGGAGGAGGGGGCACAGCCAAGGAAGCGGACACGCAAGCGGGAGGGAGGAAGGGCAAATGAAGCGTTCCGACACTTCTCCTTCTCTCATTGGTTGCCATCCCGTGAGGGCTTTGTCGCCATTGGGTGGCTTCCCTGAGGAGGCCGTGACGCCATCGCGCCGCCTTGCATGCCGGGAGTTGTAGTTTCCTTCAGGGGTCACGCAGGGCGGGTATGCGGTTCTCGCGTTGTCTGCCTCAGCGGCGTCTGTCTGTGGCTCTCTATGTCTGTGTCTTTTTTAAAGGGGCCGGGCGTGCCTTTCGGGGCGATGCCTTTCGAGCCATGAGGGGACCGGGTATGCGCTTTCAGATACCGAAGCCCCGCCTAACGTCACAGACTGCGTCCACACTGCAGGAATAACCCGGTTTGACACAGCGTTAAGTGCCATAGATTTATGCTATGGCGTTCTGGGGACTACAAGCAACTCCCAGAATTCCGTAGCATGGAGCCACGGCAGTTAAAGCGGTGTCAAACCGGGTTATTCCTGTCGTGTGTATGCAGACAAAGTTATACGACGCTGAGAAGGGGGGCTTCCCAAATTCCCAGTTGCCAAACCAAGGCACTGCGTGGACTGTGGCTCTGGAGAGCAGGGTTCGAATCCCGGCTCGGCCATGGAAACCCACTGGGTTGACCTTGGGCAGGAAGTCACACTCTCTCAGCCTCAGGGCAAGGCACCGGGCAAACTTCCTCTGAAGAAACCTTGCCAAGAAAACAATGGTAGGGGTCGCCTGAAGGTCGTCATAAGGCAAAAACTTTGTGAAGACCCATTACAATACTTCTGTTCATCCACTGTTTGTGTTCATTAATATAGAGGATCTAGTATAGTTCACAAGATCTCACAAGGAGTGAGTGGGTTGGTGCTGAGAGAGTGTGACTCGCCCAAGGTCCCCCAGTGGGTTTACGTGGCATAGTGAGGAATTAAATATTGAACTCTGGTTTCTAGAGTCGCAGTCCTCCGAAGGCTCAAGCACCTCGCCATGCTGGACCTCCAGAAACAGACTATAATTCCCATCAGCATAATCAGTGCGTAGAGAGATCCTGTAGCACCTTCCAAGACTAAATGAAATAAAGAAATTGGCCGCATGAGCTTTCGTAGACATCGGTCTACTTCAGGGGTAGGCAACCTTTCCCCTTTAAGGGCCGAGGGACTTCAGCTCCCAGAATCCCAGGAGCTATTGGTCAACATGGGGCTATTGGCCAACATGGCTGAGGCTTCTGGGAGCTGAAGTCCCTCGGCCCTTAAAGGGGAAAGGTTGCCTACTCTTGGTCTACTTCCTCAGATGCATATGGTATGCATAGGTATGTGAGGATGTCAATTCAGATTACAAATCCTTTGTGTAATTTGTAATTTGAGTTGACATCTCCACATACCAAGGCCATATATATGTCTGTGCCTGGCTTCCACTCCACCAAATGCATCTGAGGAAGTAGATTGAAGTCTAGGAAAGCTCATGCTACCAACTTCTTTCTTTTAATTAGTCTCAAAGGTGCTACAAGATCTCTCTACAGACTAATTCTACAGACTAACATGGCTATATCTTTGAATTCTACCAGCATAACCAATGGGTGATGGATGAAGTGTGTTTCAGTCCAAAAGCATCGGGGGGCCTTCAAGGTCCCCATCCATGTTTTAAAAAGCTACTATCCCAAGAGCTTGGCTGGAACAGACCCCAAGCTCTTTTATCTGAGCCAGGGTTCATTTTCACAACAGAGGCCTTCCAATGGTTTCAACCATAAGCAGCAGAAAATGGCCTCCTGCTTGTTAGCAGCACAGGGCTTTCAAAAGCATTGGGGCCTCTGTACCTTTCACAACAATTTCTACTAACCATTGATGTAAGAACTGCCTTGTCAGATCAAATCGGGATCC